GTGTGTGTGTGTGTGTGTGTGTGTGTGTGTGTGTGTGTGTGTGTGTGTGAGAGAGAAGAGTTACCTGTGGCTCTCCCTTGGTGCTGCCTTCCTCTGAGTCCGACAGCTGATCAGGGTCATTTTCATCACCCTGGAATTAAAAAAACACAGGTAACAAAGAGTTACCCTTCAACTGATCAAGAGAGGAAGAGAAAGTGTTATGAACCGCTGCACCTCATCAAGAGTGCTTTAAATACTTATGATGACCAAAGTCTCTTACATCTTGGGTCCAGAAGGAGACGCCGGTGGAGCGCCTCTTCTCGCGGGGCCGCCTGCGATCCCGGATGGAGCGAGGCTGAGACTTGTCCTCTCCCTCCTTCTCCTCCTCCCGTTTGTCTATTTCTGTCCAATCGAGGAGAGACGACAGCAGGTTAACAAACACACGTGATACCAACATCACAGCATATTAAAAGACAGAATAAAGAGATGACAGCCTGTGTAAACTTACAGTAACAGCATGTACTACAATATTAGATCTTTAGTCAACTCCTCAATAAAAGGAGAAGACCAGGAGTTTGCATATTTAGACATCAACATTGTGCAAACGCTCATACAGTAATCCTAACAGGAATTCAAAGTGAAAAACAGAAAAGTTCACATCAAACAAGGCAGTGACTTGACTTCAAAAGACACGATGAGGACAACAACTCGGCTTGGCTCGAGTTCAGAGGGGAAATAAAAGGCCATTGTGTTCGCGGGAGAACAAAGAGGTCAGTGTTTCCTTCTGCCTTCAGTTTTCCCAGATATGCTTCATGGGTTTATTTGTTAAGAGAGGAGTGACTGAATATTAAACACAACCCAATCCCTCTCTGTCTGGAGGCCCTTAATCAGCATGTGGCACAGCATGAGAATGTGGACCGAGCGGTTTTCTCTCTGTCTCTGAGACGCTTCACTGAGATCAACACGTGTTTTTATTAATAGATTTTTGTGAAGTCCGTCTTCCATTTTGGGTTGATTTGCAGTGTTGTTACCACAGCTGGATATTCCACTGTTAAATCGTGCTTTCACAATGTGACGCACATCTGCATCTGCAGAACAGCCAATAGGAGCGTTCTGTCTCTGATCGGTCAAAGCCTCCCGTCACGGAGCCAAGAGACGGTGCAGATGTCTAGTTTTCTCTCAGACCACTTGAATTACAATATGCTGAAAGGTTTTTATGGATTTTTTTTTACCCAATGATGGCAAAAATAAACTTCCCTCCCCAGCTTTAAGATAGCCAATGCTGGCTTTTAACCTATGAGCTCACCTATTTAACAGCACACACACAAAGAGACCGGATCAGATAGAAGTTTTGCAACACCATCTACGTAGTGAATGTAAAGCGGATGAATAGATCCGGTCAGGAAGGAGCTGCTGTAGAGGTGGATGTGGATGGGGAGAGGCACCGACCTTTTTCTGTGTCTCTGGAGGAACGGCTATAGGAGGAGGTGATGCCCGTGAGACTGTTGGGCCTGTTGAGGGAGCTGGAACTGGAGGACAAAGCGGTGCTAGTGTACGGGGTGGAGGCAGTGCTGACTGTGGAAATGGCCGAGGTAGAGGAGGAAGACGAAGGCCGGTAGCGCTGGTAAGGAGAGATTAAATTCAGATATTTAAGGTGTATATTAAAGGTGTCGATACAGTGATTGGTTGGGCTGTAACAGAAACTCACCTCTTCGAAGCTGCGGTACTTCGATCGGTAATCGTCTTCCTTGACCTCCATCTCTTTCTTCTCCTCCTGCTGCTTCTCCTTGTCCTGCTTCTCTTTCTCCTCCTTCTCCTCCTCTCGGGTCTTTGGGGTACGACTCCTGTCGATTGTTTTCTCCGCCTCTTGCAGGTCAGTCAGCGTCACACCCTGCAGGAAGAGAGTAATGCACCATCTTTAGAATCTGAATTCTCTACATTTTTTGACTTATTCTAGTTATAAAATTCATAAAAATCATCCGTCTGATTTGTGCTTTACAAGGTTAGTTTTAAAAATAAAACATGTCTCAAATAATCAAATAGCTCTTGATTAGAAAAGAAGACCCGTCATCCTGATGTGGAAAGCTGTCATTTTACGTGTTGGTAATATCGGTTCACTAACCTGGGTGGACCTCCTTGACTGTCGAGCTTGTCTGGAGCGAGCTTTCCTCTGGGACTCTGACTCCTCATCTCGCACTGGCGTCAGGTATGACCTAACACACACACACACACACACACACACACACACACACACACACACACA